CTGTCCATGTAAAACCAAGTAAAAACTTCTCAATAGACTAATCAAATCATCTGATTTCTGATAAACAATCTCCCTTCTATCCCTCACTGATTCCAACACTAAATCTGATGCACAGTCAAGTCCACCAGCAAATGGTAATGAAAGATTAATATTTACAGCATACCCCCAATCCATAACTTGAACAGTCCCAGTATCCCTATCTCTGAGGATATTGTACCTACGAAGATCCCGATGCACAATACCTTGTGTATGAACATTTTGTATAATGTTAATTATTCTATCTAAATCTAATTTATTGAAACTATATATTTTATAACAGAGAGGCTTCATGACAAAGGAATTCTCATTAGAGAAAAGCACATGTGGAATACCATCAATTTCCTTCAATATCATAAGAATATCCACTTCTTCTTTGATCTTTTTACACATGGAATTTCGTGCAATCTTGACTGCAACCCTGTGACCTACATGCTGTCCCTTTGAAACAATTCCCTCAAAGACCTGTGCAGTTCTTCCATGTCCTAGCCATTTTAGAAGTTTAACGCAATCAGAATTATTATTGTAAGAAATTTCTGTCTCTCTCCATCCTAATTCTTCTGGAGTCCGTTGAAGAAGTGTAATAAACCACTGCCACCCTAAATTATTGTACTTGAGAATTGCACGTGCAGTGCGATAGTAGGTAATCTCTTCTTTTGTCTTTTCCACTTTCAATATCATAATATGATGACAGTCAGAAAGAATTCCATAGACAAAGTACGTGTTGGTTGAATTCGAAAGATTTTTAAAGCAAAAAAGGCCAACTGTCCAACATCTGCATTTGAGAAGGTTGTTTGGTTTGGTTTATATGGTTTGATTTCTATGATCAGGCTGACATTGAGAGGGTCAAGTGATAAGTCTTTTGCTATTCCAACAAAGTCTGACTTACTCCTGTCAAGGATGGGAATTAGGTGTGTGTCATGAACCATAAGTGTACCTGTCAGAGGTATACAGTGTTGTCTAAAATATTCTTGATAATCTTTTTCAGCACTAGAAGTAGGAGGATCATGGAAACGTCCTTTGTGAGCATGCCTTGATATACTTATATGGTCGATAGATTCTTGTATATCGACAGCAAAAGGAAAGTTTATCACATTATGTGAATTTGTCATAATAGACCTTCCAATATCCGTTTCATTATCAATTTCTAGTAAATATTGATTTAAGCTTGTAAGCAAAAAAAAAAAAAAAATTGTGTAAACGTGTCATTACATACCTTGTGTAGAGTTTGTTGAGGCTTCAAGTGAGATCCTTACTCTCTTCACCTGAAACTCTAAATCTTCCATTTTCCGTTTCATTGATTCAATCATGATGAGCAAT